ATCGATAAAGAAAAATACTTCTATTTGATATTGTTCCACGCAAACGCAGCCGTAATGATAGGAGGTACCGCATTAATAGCGACAGGAAGTATATTGATAGTTTACCAAAAGCATGCATGCGGAATGTTTCAAATCACCTGGTAAGAAAATATACGTAAAACATATATTTTTAAATAAATGTAGAAAATCTAAACAACCAGCAAATTAAAGATTCTACACAATTATGGTTAAATAATCACTTGCAGTTATCGTATTGAACGAGCAATGGCATTCGAAACTTTACAAAAAAACAACTGGAAGAATAAGAATTTGATCTACAAGGGATTAATTTGTGCCGTGGATATGCATCGCAAAGCTATGAAGTTAGTATTCATATGATAATACACACGCAATATTTGTATTGTAATAATCGATAATATATGTAAAATGTGCGTAGAGTATATAATATTCTCTTTCTCTTGAAGATTATCTCACTCAATAGTATCTAGATTTAAAGTAATGATCTCCTTATTGATAATCGTCGGGGTGATTGGCGCAAGTTTGAATTTCTTTCGGGTAAATGTGGCCTTCTTTTTATCACATACTTGTGAATAACAGCAACAAAGTTTATTCAAATTTTCATCGATAGTCTTAATTAATTATTATTTTGTTTGACATTAATGACATTACTTACTCAGTTTTGATCAAGATTCTTGAATCTGCTTGTATATTAGATTTTTCAGATAATATCGTTTGGATTCGATACAGTGGAACTTTCATTACACGTAATGTTTAGCATCATCCATTTCATTTACGCATTCGTAGGCAACTATCTTGCGCAAGAAATTATGGATCACAATAATAATGTATTTGCAACTATGTAAGCAAGATATTTATATAGTATAATCACATTCGCATATTTGTTGTATGGACGGACGTGACAAATGTACAGTCAACGTAGTATAAGAGACATATAGTAAGCATTAACAAATTATTTTTTATATTCCCCAATCATTAATTGTTTTGTCATGATATAGATACAATGCCCAGTGGTACGTAGCTCCGTTGCAAATACAAAAAATGATCCTGTTCCTCTTGCAAAGAGGTACCAAGGCGTTCACTATGAATATCAATGGACTATTTGTGGGATCATTAGAAGGTGCTGCTACGGTAAAAATATCTTTTAAAATAGTGCTAAACGTAAAATATATTTTAGATAAATAAAAATAAAAAGTTATGTATTATTATAGTTACTGAGCACGGCAGTGTCGTATTTCACCGTTCTGTATTCTACACAAAATTGATGCAAAATAAATCAACTAATATAGTGCAGTGGAGTAATAATAATGAGGAAACTAATTTAGAATACATTAAGCACAAATGATATAGTATATATAATCTAGAAAGCGGTCTCAATTGATAATCTCGATGGAATTGTAAGAACTTCTTTTTAATTCTAAGAAGGTAAAAAACTGTGTAAAGAGTAGTAGTGTTTACAGTATGTTACCAATAATAAATTAATAACTGATACGTCTATATATATAAGACTAGCCGATTATTATTTTTCAAAACGGTAAAATATAACTTACAAGTGCACGAATCGTAAAATGAATAAAATGTATCATTGTGTTACTGAAAACTGGCGAACGAATGCGCAACTCTGGTATATAGGAATTTCGCGCGCAAGTATATTTTGATTAGAAATAAACATTCATTCAATTTCTCACATTACATTAATTACCGACCACTCCCAAGTAAAATTGTTCAATTGTTTGTTTCGATTAAAATAACGTTGTTTGCCACTTTGTTATACACTTATGCTGCATTAGATAATTTAGAAATTTATAAAAGATGGTTATAAATTTATTCAATCCAAGAGAGGAAATATACAAATCATCGCCGACTTCTTTTATAGTCAAACATTTGCATGATCGCGAAGTAAAGATCTGTATCAAAGTTAAATGCCTCAATCGGATCTTCTACTTTGTCCTTGACTTATGGCTCCATCATCAACCTCATTAGATCTCAGATAACTTTGTGCTTTGGTATTCTGATAAGCTTTATTATATTCGAGATATTTATTATAAGTGCATTCCATATTATATATTCCACATTTTTCATTGTATACTATTATATTACTCCACATTTTTAATTATGGAATAATACCATTATAAACTACTACATATATACGTATATATTATTAATTATAACCATTCTTCTCAGAAATTTAATAGTCGCTCCAAGCATTAACGCCATTGTAATGCACATCTGCTATCTTATAGTTAGAATTGCAAAGGTATGATTACATTAATTTTCACTAGAAAGTAGTTGACTATTTTAAATTTACAACTTGCTAATAATAAATAAAAGAATAACTTTTTAATGCAAAAAAGCCTCTTCATTAAATTTATTGATTAGTGTTTACAACTATTATTAACCGATTATTGCGAAGAATATTACCACATGCCTCGGTGGTCGAATTGGTACGACGCCCTACACGGAATAAGGGAGGTTCCAGGTTCGAACCCTGACTGAGGTGATATTTTTCTCAATAAATTCTTTACAGTTTTTTAATAATTAAATCGTGTCGATTTAATTGTGGGGGGATGGAAGGGTTTTTTAACGTTCTATTAAGTCCGGCTGTGATCGGAACACAGTGAATAATTGGAATATATATATGTGTTACAATAATATTGTACATATAAGAATTAGATATGAATTTTCTGTGACATCTATTAATGCTCGTATAATGGTCTTACTTCTCATTATAAATTTATTGATCGTTGTATGCAACATTAAAAAAAGGTAAATAATATATTTTAATAATGTGTTACATCTTTAAGCACACTTAAAATTGGTTCTGTTGCAAAAAATTAAAACTTTTAATTTAAATATTGATAGACTGTTTGTAAGATCTTCAAAAAGCGCGGCCATAGTAGAAAATGTACTATGCCTTATGTGGGATATATCTGATAAAAAAATTTTCAAAAAAATTTATTCCAATCGTGAAACTCACTGACAAGTAAGAATGAAGGGAAGCAATTATTAATTAATTTTTGTATATTTTGCTGAAGATGGCTCAATCCCGAGCCGAAACGTTCGAATATATACACTGTTGAATAAATCAATGAATTGGATCTTTTACGCACCGATAACTGCGTCTGACTCTCATAGCCATCCTTTATCAGTTTTTTATTTAATTTCGAGAATCCAATATTCATTTTTTGAAAAAAAAAATTATCATAGCTAAAAATGCTTCTGCATTCTGTTTTATACTATATCTTATTATATCGTATATTTTATTTTAACGCTCCATATTCTACACTAAAATTAATAGTGTGCAATGTTTTATTAATTTTAATTAATTAATTTAAATAACTTTTGACGTAGTCAAGAAATTAAATCAAAGTTCGCGCTTTACATATGACTAATACGATCATCATTGCGAAAGAAAGACATTTTGATCGAACAGAAGAAGTTAGAGTTATAGTTTGATATCATTTACTATTATAAATTTTAGAGCAGCATTATTGTGTGCATTAAAAAATTTAACAGCAGCATTGTGTGTAAAGTAAGCATTTTACTGATTAACTGAT